TGGTGTTAGTTACCACTGAGTCCTTTTACCTCCTTGACCCCGTGTGACAGAGTAGACCTGACTCATAGGGTTTCCCAGGCTGTAAATCTTTAAGGAAGCACATTCCCAGGTCTTTCTCCAGCAGAAACACTGGCTGGTTGGAACCATCAACCTCGTGTATAGCAGCGGAGCACTTAACCAGTGCACCACCAAGCCTCCTCATATAACGAATAAGCATCTCAAATACAATGTGCCTAAAACAGGAGCCCTTCAGTTGGCCCCAATTTCTAACTGCTTCCTTCACGGGCTTAGGTACTGTAGCAAATAGTACCAGTGGTCAGGTGAAAAACCCAAGACTACCCTGATTTTTGTCCCCACATCTCACATCCAGTACATGAATATGTTCTGCTAGGGGCCCTTCGAAATGCATCCGGAGTCTAAGCAGGTCTCACCCCCACCCCCACCCCACCCCCACCCCGTCAGTACTGCCTTAGTCCAGGCCACCTTATGTTTCTTACTGATCTCCTGGTGTGACCACCCCCCTCACTCACCCCACCCCCACCAACTGCCTCCTGCTGCCACGCTTACCCCACTATGGTCTGTTTGCTACACGGTTTCCAGAATAATTCCTTTAAAAGAAAAGTTAATCATTATCACTCCCCAGCCTAACGCCTTCCCTTGGCACTTCATTACAACCAAAATAAACTCAGAGACTTACAAGGCCCTACATGGACTCCTCCTTCCTCTTCTCACTGCTTCTCCTCATCCTCACATTATAAAAACCAAGCTCACCGCCATCAAGTCGGTGCCAGCCCATAGCAACCTCACAGGACATGACTGCCACTCTTTACAGGAGCAGAAATCCCCGTCTCCCTCCCGAGGAGCACCTGGTGGTTTCGAACGCCAGCCTTGCAGATTGCACCCCAGTCTGTAACCCCTGCGCCACCAGGACTGCCAGGCTCACACTAGGACCTTTGACTGTAAGCTCTCTTCCGCCTGGACTCGCTTCTTTACATGCTTGCTCCTGCATTTCATGGAGGTCAAAAGGCATCATCTCTAACAGGCCTCTCCTGGCCCCTCCCTAAATTATTCCTCTTTCCCTCAGTTCAGCCGTATCCCTTCCCTTGCTTCTTACTCTTCTCTACCTAGAAAACTGTATTTGTGTGTGTGTGTGTGTGTGTGTGTGTGTGTCTTCATTTACTTGTTTTTGTCCAAAGTCCCCATGAGAACATAATATCGCCTTGAAAACATGGATGTCTATTTCTCATTTGCAAGCCCAGAGTCCAAAGTGCTGAACATGCATTAGGTCCTCCTAAGTGTGTTAAATGAACGACTAATCACCTACCTCAAAGGATCGAGGTAAGCATTTATTGTTAGGATGGGTTGAAAGCCCTTAGCCTGGTGCCTGGCACACAGTAGGGCCATGATTCGTGTCAGCCATTGCCATTAGGAAAGAATGCTCGTCGAATCGGGGTGCAGTCCCCACAGCTACCGCACCTTTCAGAAGGAGGGCTTCACAGTTGCTTAGAGACCCTCTGGCCTTGGCCCCCTGGAGCTAGGCATACTGTGCCTTCAGTTCTGAGGGACGACGGTGCACCCCTTATCTGATGTTTGTGTTTAGACTCTGAAGGGGGCAAATAACTCCAGTTCCTCTGACAACATTTAGGGCTCTGCCACCATTTTATTATGTGAGCAAACATTTGATAGCTAGGAAGCCCATCCCTAATGACAGGTCATAGAATCTTGCTGGCGTCTCCTTATCTGCCCTTCTTGTTTGCTCGTCTATTGAAACTTGCAAGGTCACAAGCCATTCTCTCTCTCCTCCAGCTGAAATCTGAAAATTGGGAAAAGGCTGATAGCGGAAGGAAAGAGACTGGGGGATGGGGGTGGGTGGAGGGAAGCAGACGAGGCAAAGGGTAGCAGAGGAACCTGACCAAAGTCTAAAGAATTTAAACGGCTCGGGGACTCATCTCTTCAAACGAATTCGTAGTCCAATCTCACGTTAAGTAGGACTCAAGGGAAGATCCTGGACTGAGGAACCCTGGCTGTTAAGAACCACCGTGTTACCAAGCCCTATTCTGAGTACCTGACATGTATAAGCAACTCCAGTCTCGGCAATAACCTCCATTCAGTCGGGTCTCAGCCCATCTCATTTGAGAGGTCGAGAAATGGAGGTGTGGAAAGAGGCACTTGACCCAGAGAACAAAGCCAGGCTCGGGCATTCGAGCTTGGAGGTCAGCCAGAACTGGGTTCCACGCTGGTTCTCTGCTGGCCCAGTTCTTGGGCAACTCCCTGGAGTGCTTTGAACCTTATTTTCCTAATATGTAAAACGGAATAATGGCAACCTCGGGGGCTGGGGGGGGTGTGCCTGTGTGTGAGGGGAAACCTTTTGAAAATAAGCCACTAGGCCAAGCGGAAGAAGGCAGAACTTCCCCCTCAGACGCCGACAAAAGCAAAAGGGATGGAGGAGACAGAGGGAGGGAAACACTCCCTGAAGGAAATAGAGGAGCGTAATGGTGTTGCCTAACGGCTGAAAGGAATGCCGCCCAGAGCCCTGAAGAGGGTGGCTGTCCTGTTCAGGTTGGGTCATGTGTTCAGGTGTCCAGTCTCTCAGAGATCTTCTGTAGACCGCTTGGGATCTTCTGCCCTAGCCCAGAGAGAAGGGCCTTTCAGCCCTCTTTTCCTAAGAATAACCAACCGGTAGTAAACACTTGGTACTCTCAAATACCCTTCCCTGGGGGATAATTTGAATAAGTGGTCATTTCCAGCTGTGGTTTGTGACCGTGCAGCAGTGAGTAGAGAACCTGGTGTAGCAACACTAGCATGACCTGGGGTTTATCAGAGACAGGAAGTCTGGGGCTCCCCTCCAAGCCTTTTAAACCAGAATGTGCATTTTAGTAGAGAAGCTATGGTTCAGGGAATCCCTGTTCTTAGAGGTGTCTGTAGGAGGTGAGAGCTCTCCACAGAGCTCCCTCTTGAACTGCACCATAGGTGCCCAAACTTATCTGGCCTATTTTCTACTTATTTGCCACCCCCTTTTCAAAATAAATAAATTACTTAGCCCCTCCTTGGTAACTGAAAATGTCCAATAGCCCATAATCCAGGATAAAGTATAGCTATTTGCTTTTGCAGCACCCCCGAGATCATTCCAGTACCCCCAGGGGTGATATCATCCTCTCTGGTAAATACTGAACTACACAGAGTACTCTCACAGAAAGAGGAACAGCAAGCTATAGCTATCTTAAGGTCCCTAGCAATTCATGTCTCCCTTCTGAAGTGGCCCAGAAAGCTGGCCTCCAAGTTTTCCTAAAGTGAGTGTGCTTTCGGACCACCGCCGCAGAAGGAAGCACGCTGTAGGTCCCCAAAATTCGACCCTCAGCTGTTTGCTGCCTGTTTGGGTTGTCGTCCCCCTTGGTGAAGTCAAACTCAAGGCCCATGTCTCTGCTCAATGCACACAGCTGAGCCCTCTCTCTCTCCTTCTCTCTCTGCAGTGTCCTCTCCAAGCCTGGTGATGCCCACACATCGTTCACTGTGTGCAAAGCAACAAGGATCCTTTTTTCCACCCATCACCCTCCGGGAAGTTGTCATGGGAAAGCCCAGTGACCTGACAGGCATCTCCGAGAGGTCCCAGCTTACCTGACATCCTGCTGGCATCTCAGACAATCCCCTCTTGGGAGGCCCAGCCTGAAGCCTAGCTTCCCTTCTATGCAGTATTGCCACGATGCCTCTCCCAACTCCTGTCTGTCCTAGACAAGGGAGACAAGAGACCGTGGAAGAGGAAGAGAGAAAGCCGTGATGTCTACGTGACGCTCCTTCATCGAACAAACTCATGAGAAAACTTGAATCTGTTACTGAAACGAGGAGAAGAGGGACCCGTGCTAGTGAACTGAGCCAAACACACTCACTATAAATATCAGCCAACTCTTCCCCGTCGCCCGGCCCTGTCCCAAATGATCGTGAGATTTCTTTTAAAGAAGTAAATTTGTCCAATGGGTGTAAATTATAAACTACTGTAATTAAGTGCAATTGCCCCTCGACTTCCTCTCCCTTCTGCCCTGTATATAATACGAAAGTGTTTATTAGTTTTCTTTGTAAAGGTCAGCGTTGTACTTCTAAAAGCGATCTGCGCCCTCTCGCTTCCCCCATGAAGAAATACCCAAACCCAAGTGAAGTCGGTTGCCCCTCCCTCAGGCCTGGACACGCAGAGTAACCACACATGGGAGACGGACGGCCAGCCACCTCCAGTCGCCTGCCGTTGACACATCCCTCCCGGTCCCCGAGGGGCTGCATCTAGGGGCAGAGTATCCGGTATCCGTCCAGCTTCCTGCCAAAGCGCCTCCAAGAAACCCCGGGGGACGGGAACCTGACGATTTGGTAGCAAAAGGAAGCGCTGCCCTTTCAGAAAGCCCCTCCACCCCCCACCCCCTATTAAAACCATCTATTTTATCACCACTCGGGGTCTCCTATTTCTGTCTCCTGACACTTCCCTCACCACAGTTCCACCAAGAACCCTTGGGCCCTCATCTCCTTGGAGTGTTCCATTTGCCAGGAACACCAAGCCGTTCTAGAGAGGCAATGTCTTTACGGCGGCCCTGCTGCTGATCCAGGGAAGAAAGCGTGTATTCCCCAGTCAGCCTCCACAGGTCAGAGCAGTAGCCCACTCTCCGTTCTTCCCTGCAGTGCAAGGAGTGACACAATAGAGACCGTTCTTGGGGACACGTGGTCACGGGAACAGATAACAAGAAAGAGGAACGGAAACCCTATGGATCGCTTTTCAACCTCAGTTTCAACAGTGATTCAAACTTTTCCTCCCTCACACCTTCCCTGTTGTAGGGCTGAGCGGCACTTGGAAAAAGGAGCCGGGGGAAGGGTGGGGAGTGTTACCCTTTCTGATATATCCCTGCCCCCCCTCTGGTGGGGATGCTTATGAAAGTAAATAATCTTAAAGGTCAAAAGCCAAAGACCTGGAGAATCAATCCCTCAGTGGGAATGAAGCCACAGAGCATGGGTGTGGACTGCAGGCGTCGAGGATGGGCCTGTCTTCTTCGCGACCTCTTCCTTTGTACAGCAAAGACCCTCGGGCCAGTGTTTTGTTTTTATTTGTTTGTTTTTCACCTCTGGACAGCATTTCCCAGAGAAAGGGTGACCAAGGGAACTGCACTGACCAGGTTTGGTCAGTATCCCAGTACTGGGGACGGTGTGAGACAGTAAGTGCTGATTAAGTACCCAGGGTAGGGAATGTTAAATCTGACCTCCATTTGCTCGAGGGTCCCCGGGAGAACGTTATTTGGCTGAGGTGGCCAAAGCTCCTGGTTAGGTTTAGAAGGCCTGGAATGAGGCCAAACACCAGAAAGTTAGGGACCTCTAGATCGCCTTTCACTAATGGGGATGTCGTGATTGACCCCAGCTGCCTGTGGGACCGGTGAGCGCCGGGAAGAAGAAGGAAATCAAAGCCTTCCATTTCAGCCTCAATTGGAGCCCTCTGTTGTTTGCGGACGAGCAAAGATCTGCATTTGGTAGATTTTTCCTCTTGCATCATTGCAATCACCCCGAGAACCTGGCAGGCCACCTTGAGAAAGGAGGTTACTTGGGGAGAGAGGTAATTGAGTGAATTAGGGAAGGACTAGCATCTGTCTCTAGGGGACATTTCCTGAGTCTTGCAACTGAGAGGCCGAGAGAGGTTGGCACCTCCCATCTTTTGATGCAAACAGGACCCACCTCCCCTGGCTGCCAGAGGGACAAGGGATGGTCTCACTATGTATGGGTCCAGGTGTAGGTCCAAGGGGGAACTCTCCACTGCGAAGATTCATTCGTAACTGAAAACCGAATTATCTTCTTGCCAGCACCTTCTGCACCATCCGTTCCAGAGGCTCACTGTCCACCCCCGGCCCAAGTTAAGAGTGAGGTGGCTTTGCCTTTGTCCTGTGACTGCAGCCATTTTCAAGGCTGAGCTCTGGGGAAGGCAGATTCGTCTTAACATCCTCGAGTAGAAAATGAAAGCAGAGGTGAAAACCTGCCTTACAAAAACCGATTTCACGTCGAGCAATTGTAGAGTATTCCCTACGAAGACCCAGATGCTAGAGCACTAGCTACTGAGTTCAGTTGGATCAGAATACAATGAGGACAGGCAAGGAGTCTCAACTCGTGGGTCAGAGCAGAGGGCAGGGCTTGACTCTTGGGGCCAGAATGTCTTGTTGAGACCCTCTGAGTTAGTTAATTGTGCCAGCCTGGCCGATAATCACATGTGGGGCTGGTTGAAAGGCGGAGGGATAAATGGGTGGTGAAGCCTCGCCTTTCTAGTTCTCGGGTCTCTTGTTTTGTGATGGTTGTATCGGGTGCAGCTGCCTTAGCAGTTCCCTGCTTCAGCTTGCAAGATTGACTTCCTACAAGACATCCCCAAGGAGAAGCCGCATGGATCTATCCCGATGCAGCCCTGGGTGCTGGAGCAGCCGTGTGGAGACCCTTGCCAGTGCTGAGATGCTTACACGTTCATGGACTCAGCTTTCCTCCTGCAGTCGGCATCATTGCCTCTGTTTTGTGAGGTGGAGGACTTTGTGGACTGGTGTTGGGTTAATGGGTTAATGTTGGACTTGTGGGCTTGGGCAGCATTGGGTTGGGATGTTTTCGTGATGCACCTTTTCTTTACATAAAACTCTCTCTTATACGTGAGTCGCCGTGGATTTGTTTCTCCAAAGTACCTAGACTAATACACCCTCCAACTCTCTGGTTCCCAGTGTCGTCCTACAAAACAGGGAAAGTGCTTTATACTATTTTTGTTATATGTAAGAGAGAACTTTATATCAAGAAGTAATTATGACTTTATACTATTTTGCAGGGTTGGTGGGGGAATAAATGAGCTGATCTATCACAACTGCTCAGCACTGTGGCGAGGACATAGATTCTCTTCTCCTTTGTCGATATACTGAAGTTCCCAAAGACCAGGTTGTTAGGCAAAAAGCAGTGTGATTCAAAACGGAGGATGACCACATCATTACAGAACTGCCAAATCATCATGGGCCAGGCGAATTGAAGCCTAACCTTCACCATCACAGCTAGCATCGCTCTGCCCTGGCACCTCGGCCTTCTTTACTGCCAGAGTTACACCATTAATGTGCAAAACAGCAGATTTTTCACTATGGTCATAAATGTCAGCTAACAAAATGGCAGACAAATGACAAGAAGGTGTGCTGAGAGTCAGTTGTCCCAGAATCCCTTCTCATATGAACAGACTTCAAATATTGTGGGAAAATCTCATTAGCTTTTCATTCTAATTTTCCCTGAACTTCTCGAAGCCCCCTTGTACAGTCTTCGCGTTGCCTGATATTTCCTGATACCTTTATCGCACATCTGTTGCTTGGTAAAGCGTGCTGCCAATAATTGGTGGGCTGGTTTTGTTCATTGCTGTGGCGTCTGACGAAGGGAAGGTCTGAGGACAGGGGAAAGGCTTGACTGGGGAGAGTCTGTCTTCCTTAGGGGGGAAAAATATAAATGTGAAGGTCTTGCCATGACTGCAAGGGCCAAAGAGCACTTGGAGAAAGGAGTCCATGAGCCAAAAGATGTGGGGCAGAAAGAAGCCCAGTGAAAATCACGGCCGATGTGCCCCTTTGAATTAGGAATTAATTCGAACATATGCCATCAAAATCTGCTCAAGAAAATAAGGGACTGGAGACTCTTAATGTTGGACTGGCTGTGGGATAGACACGTCTGTTTCAATACTTTGAGCATGCTCCAACCACAATAAACAGGTGGAATATTGATGAGAATTTACTGTAAGTTAGCCAAATGCCTAAAAGGCCTCTCTCCGTGTGTGTTTCTATCTATCTGTACCTCTACCTATCTCTCTCTCTCTCCCCCTCTCTCTCAAAGGTGCAGAGGTCATTTCTGCTAGGAAAACACTGGATTGTCAGCTGAGATTTACAAGAAGTCCCCAAAAACCCCTGGGATTTTTTATCCTCAAAGCTATGTATTTAATTTTTTGTTTCCCAAAACAACCTTAACACCTTCAAAGTACTCTCCATTACACTTGTCAAAACTGCAATTCCATTCTTAGAAACATTTTTCAAACTCATCTATTTGGATGGCTGGCGGCACCTCCCTTGTTTTTTTCTTCACATCTTCTACATTGTCATATCACTGTCCTTTCATGTCCCTCTTCATTCTCGGAAACAAAAAGAAGTCACACGGATCAAGGTCAGGTGAGTAAGGTGTGTGGGGGCAAGAGAGGCATGCTGTTGTGTGCCAAAAACTGGTGCTCTGAGATGGCTGTGTGAGCCGGTGCATTGCATGGTGGCAAAACCAGTCCCCTGTCTGCCACAAATCAGGCCTTTCTTGTCACACACTGTTATGCAATCTTTTCAAAACCTCTAAATAAAAAACTTGATTAACAGCCTGACCTGGTAAAACGAACTCCAGATGCACTAGGAGTCAATATTTTCAACCGTTCATGAAGCTGACAGACGTCCAAAATGAGGTTTGTCATCAGTAGGCATTTCACCTTTTTTGAAACAAGAAAACAACTCATACACTTGAGTTTTTCCCACAGTGCTGTCCTTGTAAGCTGTGTTCAACATCACACCAGTTTCTGTGGCATTTTTCCTGAGCAGGAAACAAAATTTCACAGCCACATGCTGTTCTCTTAAATCGGCCATCACACACACAAACACACACAAAAATGAGGTTCAAGCAAAAATGCTTTTTATGAAAAAATTCACTGTGACCAGAGAGAACCTACCCAGGCAATGCCACTGGGTGCACTAACTCAGAGTGAGTTGCTCAATGCTCACCTAGCGGAAAAATGTATACTATGAAAGCTCCACTCTGCCCAGCACAATTCTGGTTTGGGGGGGGTGGGTTTACCCCTCATATAACATGACTATTTTATAATAACTCTTTAGGGTAGGCAGGACTTCGCACACTCCTGAATGAACATTTATTTTTCCTGGGTGTATGCAAAGCGATCTGTGTGTGCACATGCGCTTTCGAATGGAGCGAGTAAAGCAAACATGAGGAAGGCAACATCAGAAGTGGGACTCATCAGAGTGGATTTCCTGGGGTGTGTAGATTTGCATTTAGGCCAAGAGCCCTCACAGCCGAGCTGTCTCTGCAATTTCCCCATCTGATTTCATTTCTTCACTGGGGCGTGTCGCACACCTAAAAGGGAAGCTTATCTCCAGTGCCCTATTTTTCAGGTATCCTTCCTTTCAAAACCTGATGCTCATAAATTATTCCCAATTCATTATGAAAGAGCTAAAGACAAAATGTTTAATGTTTTTTTTAATTTTAATTTTATTTTATTGGGAGTTCTTATGCCTCTTATCACAATCCATACATATATCCATTCTGTCAACCACATCTTTACATATGTTGTCATCATCTTTTCAAAACATTTTCTTTCTACTTGAGCCCCTGGCATCAGCTCCTCACTTTTCCCCCTCCCTCCCCAACCCATGCTC